GAAAATGTTTCATTTGACTAGTACTGTATCACTAAGGGATTAAACGGTTATATGTGTGAGAGGGGGCTCCAAATGCGTACGCTGTGCTGTTCCATTGTGTAGTCTGAGTTGATGTTTAATGCAGTGATTATTGCCGTAGATTTAAAATTGGTTACATAAAGACTTCTGAATCTTATTTGTGGAGTACTCTTTCGTACTTTTTAATGGAGGTCTTTAAGAACAGGTTAGACAAATGTCTGAAATGGCATAGTTGATACTGGCTGGAGAAAATGGGAAGGATTAAATGGGAGTTGCCAAACATAGTTTATGGAGGTATCACAGGCTTGGGTTTCAGCAGTAGGCACGTGCCGAAGGATGTGTGCATCATATCCTGTGCTCACACCTTATCCTAATCAAAATTAGGATCCAGACATCAACATTGAACATCAGAGCCTTGAAACAGTATGTCCTTTTAAGGACCGTTCTAGCAGTATCTTCTGTATTCTTGTGGTATTCAGTCTGATTGTTTTAAAGATGTGTTGGTGTCCTTCAGCTTGTTCTTCTAAAAAACAAAACAAGCCAAAAACCACCTTGCTTCTTGCTAGATACGGCTTTGTGGTCTAGACAGAATGTCACTTAAAATGAGGAAAGCTAGATTTTTTTTTTTTTTTATGTCTGCCTTTGTATTTTGTGTAACCAGTAGCTTGGGTTGAAATAAGAGAATGTCTGGTATCCGTGTAGCAAGTGGCTAACATATTCCTGCATTTACTTTAACCAGTGCAGAAGCTGTGCAATATTTGAGTGTATTGTCAATGTAAATTAGAAAGAAGCCTTTTAATAGGGGTGCTCAGCCTATGCTTGGCTGCTGTGGTGGTTTATCTGACTAGTCCTTCCATCATAGTCATACAGGCTTAGTCAGGATGAGATGATCAATCTCTTGGGGCTCTGCCTGTGTTAATACCATCACTGGAAGGAGAGATGAAACCAAATAGAAACATTCAAAATCTAAAGCGCTCAATCCATGATCTAATCAGTTATAGTTTTCAGCAGGAGGGGGGAAAAAATTGCCCAGCTCTAATTATAAAAATACTTTGAGGAGATGTAACTTACCTTCATTTTGTTCAAGTTAGAATTTAAACTAGTGGGAAATAACCAAAGCATTTAACTTTAATACAAAACCACTTTTAATAATTGCAGTTGAAGAACTTGAGAGGAAATATGAAATGGTATCTATCTTTAGTTCATGAGTAACAATGACATTGATGGCTTTGAACGGCTGTTTGTTCCAAAGTGTAACTCACTGGCCTTTTCCAAGTTGAGACACATATCGTTTTCAGAAACCCTTAAGAGAAGCAACTAAACCAAGATGTTACAGTTTTATAATTCTTCTTTCATGTTTGCCCATGTTTAATTTAACAAACCATGTTGGTCTTTAGCCCCAGTGCTAAATTTGTGTCAAACTTGTAAGCCCTTTTTAAAAAGGCAGTCTGCTGAGATTAAGCCAGAAATGACTTGAATCTTTAATATAAAAGGGGCAGATCACTGTATCACTTACTACAAAGGAGAGATGAAACAAGTTTAAAGTTTGAGGTTTTCAGTATTAAGTTGACAAATTGGTATTCCCAAACTTTGTCTTGAGGGAGTAGAAAGACTTCAGCACATCTTTTTGAAGCAGGAAAACTCATTTTAAATTGCAAAACCCAAAGCAGTGCTACCTGGGCTAGTGTCAATTGTTTCATGATTTAGCTTCAAGCAGAGTCATATGAACATCATGCCTAGTCCTGTGATAGCTGTGGCGAGCTTGTCTGAAAGGAACTCTTGTTCCACTTCATAGATTTTGATGCATTTCTACATCTGAAGTGATTTTTAAGCAAAACTTCTTCTGATGACCCTACTAAACTGAAGCTCTTTTCATAGGGTTACGAGTTTGTGCTTTTGTAAAAGCTGTAAAATACATTGGCTAAAACTTAGTAGCAGCCTATTAAAAGTTGATGTTGTTAGCATTTGAAGTGTTTTTCCCACTAAGTTTTCCTAGCAATATGTAGGAAAAAATTATATTCAAATCACCTATAACATTACTGGTTTTAGGTTGCTGCCTCCTCTGTCTCTCTGCTTCCATGTGGTACCCAGCTGCATCTTGCCTTCTGACCCTGTAGCTGTCTTCCATGGTTCTGTTTTTTATTGCTGCAAAGGCTTCTGGTGTGCTTTTCCTCCCTGTATGGCGAGCCTTCTGTGCAACTTGTGCTTGTGGCCTTGCCTTCTCTTTGCAATGCAGAACAGAGAGTACTACATGACCTAAGACATCCTTATGCCTCTAGTACACACTGGACTTCTTAAGTTTTTGGTTAAGAGAAAAGCTTTTTTTTTTTTTTTTTTTTTGCTATTTAAAACTGCTATAAGATGAATTGGTAATTTTAATGTTATAAAATGTAAACACTGATATATGCATCTGTGAGCTCCTGAATACTGTGAAACACAAAGCTGGTAAACCAAGGTAGCAGAAGATGATGGTGATCAGCACAATTGCAGAGTGCCCATAAATAGTTTTCTATGCTGCTGACAGATTGTAGGACCTGGTTATTAAGTATTTGATGAAGACTGTGAACATTTTATAACCTATGAAATAGTAACAGAAATTGGGTGGCAATGAAAAGATAGCATGTAATTTTGGTTGGTACTGTTGCTCGTGTGTCCCTACTGCAGTGTCTGTACCTTTGTGGCTTACAGGTGAACATACCCTTCACCGATGTTCAGTCAAACCTAAGGATACCAAGACTCTCTGTATTCCCGTGCAGTGTTGGCAGGCAAGTGTGTGAAGTTAGGAAAGAGGGAAATTATGTTAATCCCAAGCAAGCTTCTCTGAAGTGGTTGGCGCTTAGTTGATAGTGATTACACAGAGCAGCCGAGGTGGGGTGCTTGACTGATGGGCACTGGACTAACATAGTGTCCTTCATGTTTAAATGTAGGCTGTAGATCTGTTCTGTTTTGGAAACCTGCTTGCACCCTTCTTTGCTGTGAAGGGCTGATGTATTGTTTCCTACATGCTGCTTGAAATGAATGTCTTCAAAAGAGGGAAATCTAGGAATGACTGTATATCTGTTCTTTCTTGTTGAAGAAAGAACTTTGCTCAGGCTTTTAAAAAAATTAATGGTGGAGTCTAACTTCACTTTTTTTGTTTAGAAATTCATTGAGTTTGAAGATTCTCAAGAACAAGAGAAAAAGGACCTACAGACAAGAGTGGAAGCATTAGAATCACAAACTCGACAGCTTGAACTAAAAGCAAAAAACTATGCTGATCAAAGTAAGTAAAATATATTGCTCTCCCTTTAAGTGGTATTAGTACATTTCAAATTTAGTTCTGTAAAATGATAATACATATGCTAAATATCTGTGCTATCAGATTCCTGCATTTGGCAAGATAACTAGGTTTAACTCTTGTGAAAGTTTGCTTTCCTTAGAATTAAGGCAAATCATAAGGTTGTGACTCATAATCTGATTCTTCTGATCTCGTACTTGTTGATTTGCTTTTCCTTTTCAACCATGATATTTTCATGTTTAGCAACTAGTTCAGGAGATAGCTAATTTTCTTTCCAATAAAATGTTGTCTGTGCTAAAAGTAAATGTGATCTTTGGGTTTAGAAACACTACCGGGATGAGAATACCACTGATGATGATTCTCATTAGCTTTTGTGTAACTTCTGCTGGATTAGTTCTGAGGCATTTAGTTCTTACAGCAAAAAAGCAAAGGAATAACACTTCCTCTTTTAGAGATGTTCTGTGTAATTTACAAAAACTTGTGTAAGTTTTGGTAAAAGATAACAATGATCAGTATTCCTAAAATACTGCAAGATACAATGTGAATATATTGTAGCTTAGATATTCTGCTGGTCTGCTCCTTATCCAGGTACATAGTCATCAAATGGAACTCTATCACCATTTTTTCTACTTCTGGTTGAGTAAGAGCGGGGGGAATACTAAAACACACAAAAATCTTTGCTTTTCATTTCATCTTCCCCATCCTCCCAGTCTTAAAGTGAAGATGAAAGACCTGTGCTGCTAATGATGGATTAATTTTTTTTTTGTGCTCTGAGTCTGTTAAACATGCAATGAAGGTTATGATTTTTGTTTTCATTTAGCCTTTTTAGCACAGCATAGAAATAACAATATGAATTAATATGAACATTTTTTTGTCAAGCTTCTAAGCTAACTTCTCTCAACGTAAGACTAGCATGTCTATTAGTTAATGTATATAGCTTTTATTCCTAGGCCATGCAGAAATGTAAAGTAAGACTGTATCAAGCCTAATAAGGTTGAGGTAAGATCAGTTTCTATAAGCAGAGTGTTGGTTGACAGAATAGCCCCTCTTTACTATTCTTTCTTCCTTTATTTCTACTCAACGGCTTTTCCTGCCCATAATGCAAGAAACTATAGCTCTCTTCTCATGAACTTGAGCTGGAATAATCTTCCTGTAAAGTTTCATTTTCAATGGCATGAGTGAGTCTATATCAGGATAGAACTATTAGTGCACTAGTGTTAAGATTAATGTACACTGCATACAGAGCTGAATGTCTCTGAGGTTTGAACTATCTGAACAATGGAAAGTTTTAATTTTCCTAACACTACAACTTTTTTGAATAAGCTCCTTGATTCATGGGTGGTTTAGAATGCTGTTGGCAAATCTTAGAGGCATGTACTTCCTCAGGTCCATTGCAGTTAAAATATTTTCAGATTCTGTACAGACAGTGATGGAGGAACATTTCAAGCAGTCTTATCTAGTGAAAGCCAGGATGATTGATTTCCAGGAGTTTATCTTCATAGACCAGGTCAAGCTAAAATAGATAATTGTAAAGTGTATTGTAGAGACTTGTATCAGAAATGCTATGATTCTTGTGAATGGAAATGTGTGTGTGTTTAAACACAGCAGAAGAGGGGAAAAGAAAACATTTGAACTAGAGTTGAGTGGTCTGTTTTGGTAACAAAGGACACTGTTTCCAGAACGCCTGTGCTTTAAGCCCACAGCCCAAACAACTTGTTAATGGGACACCCTGTACTCTGACAACAGGATTATGGCATCAAGACTGCATCATGTTGTATATACCATCACTTTTTCTGTTAATACAATAAAAAGTACAAGTTAGTTGCACAAAAAAGAAAAATCATTTGGATTCCTGGCAACGTATGTGGCAGTATACCTGGAGTTTCTCTTACAGAAATTGCAGTTACCATATACTGATGTACATAACGCCATTTTATATTCTATGAATCTGTTCATGTGAAATTCTTTTTTTTTTGCCTTGAATATTAAGCCTTCAAATAAATGTATGATTTTAAACTTTTAATTGCATTGTGTGTATATACGTGTGTGTGTGTGTGTATTTCATAATAATGAAAGTATTTGCATGAGAAACTCAATTGTTCCAGTAGAACCACCGAGTGTTGGCTAGAACTACTTTTTTTATAGGAAATAGTGTTGTTGCAAACAGTTCTCTAACATAAAATTCTGATGTTAAAGCATTGACTTTTAAACAGTTCCAAAATCTGTTTATTGGAGAAAAGCCTTTTGTGATGGCAAAAATGTAACTTTGGAGAAACAATAGGGCTGTGTGGAACATTGAGTTTTGCTTATGATTTGGGTTGATAACTTGTCTGGGACAACATGAAAGACTGCTATGAAGATCTGACATGCTGCTGATGCAGAGCAAGATCAAAGGGGACATAAGCACAATTGTTGAACACCTAATGAATATTATGCAAGTGAACTGACTTGGTTTTTTTAGTGCTCTAAATTTCTAGGGTATGGAAACCGTACAAATGTACATGTTCTTGAAGTGGTCTAACGCTACGGCATTATCTTGTTTTCTTTTTTATAGGCAAGGCAATTTGTATATCCTACGATACCAAAGATACCAATGTGTCACTAATTCACTGGGTGCAGATACAAGTCTTCTAGCTATATTTCTTTTGCTCTTCTACTTCTTATACTACTGCCTGTGCATTTAAATTAGTCTGTGGTATTGCCAACTGTTACCACGTCAACATTCAAAATAGTGGTAGTGTTATCATTGATAATGGGAACTGCAAATGTCTGGCACAGGGCGAGTAAGCAAATAAAACCTGGCTTTGCTGTTTTGTGTCAGAGTGCAGAGTCTGAGGTAGCAACATCAGTTTATGACATGATTAATAGTTCAGAATAGGAAACAGGTAAGACCTGTGGTCCCATGTAGCACTTTAACTACAAGACTTTTTGCTTCTTGTAGAGAACTTCTTGTGCTGTATGCGTTCTTCCTCAAATAACCAAGGCTTGCGAGAACAAGCCTTGTCCGTTAAAATGTTGTAACTCGTTCTCTTGAACACTGTCCATCCTGAGCTAGTGAAGACTAGTTAGCCCTGGGAGAGGGCGGCTCTTCAGTTACATGGTAGGGTTCCACACGACTGTATGTGCTTAAACACACATAACAGTTAAGTTGCTCAAGAAGCCATAGTTTTTTTATGTCTTGGATTATAAATGCTTGGTTTTGCATTTTTAGTGATTGCCACACGGAAGAAAAAGAAAATTTTTTGGCACTTAAATTTATCCTGTGGGGTTACATTCATAGCCACATATTCAACCAGCTGCGTTGGAATAAATCTGCCGTTGGAAATTAAAGAAGTGAAATATTGTTTCAAGCAGTTACGAAGCTGCTGTGGTTCACTGACCTTCCCCCCTCCGCATTACGACCTTAAACAGTTGCTGTCATCTACCTCCTAGATGAGTGAACTACCGTACTCTGCTCTTTCATCAGAGGAAATGGGAAGAGGGAGAGATGGCAGCATGACCTGTGGCACTGCTGGGCGGATTGTGAGCCACAGGAGCTGATGAAATCCTGAATGGCAGGGGCAGATGCACACTGAGTTACTGCTCTTGCATGATGTATAGCACTCTGTCCTGGTATTTGGTGGGTTGTGGTGGTTGCCTAAGTCAAGTTTGCTGCCACAAATGGTGCAGCAGGTTGCATCTTGGGATATTTTGGTAAACCTACAGAGAGCAGAGGCGTAAGGGTTTGAGACTTCTGTTTGAGTGTGGGAACATGCTGCAGTGGCGTGGCTCTTTGGCCCGTGATCCATGTCCTCGTCTCACTTGGCACTGCTGCTCTTCTCCATAGCTTTCCATGGTTTGCCTCTGCCCTCGTGTTGGTGTGTGTTGGCTGTCAGCACTACCTGTGCAGGGAACAGAGGAAAGACAGCACCCCTGCTCTCAGGGGCCTGTGGCTTGTGGGGGTTAAAGCAAGTTCAATATCACAAAATTCCTAGAGATCTGTCTAGGGATGATGTTGGTACAGGTAGAGTTTTTAGAAGCTCTTGCTGTTGACCTTCAGCAAACCTTTACTGAGTGTGAGCAAATGTCTTTTTCTGGGTTTATGACTTGACTAGACTTTCATGGATTTTTATTTTTTTTCTCAACAGCAGAGGGCACCTCTGAATATCGTGGAGGGCCACCAAGTGTGGAAATCCCAGGTTTTCAAAAAATAAAGGTTTAACACTTCTCTTCTCCTTCCCTTCAACTTCAGTGATGTGTCTGAGGCAGACAGCAGTCTTTGATATAATCTTAAACATTCCTTAGAAGAGCTCGAATGTATCTGACTTTCACATTATTCCAAGTCTTTGCTGTGGTGAGACCCCCTAGCTCTGCTTGTAATTAGTTTGCAGCATTAGAATGTTTCAAATTTCAATCCTGAATCCGGAAAACTAGGTACTTAGTGCTGTTAAAAACTCGTAATAGCGATAGGCAGCTCACTTGCCCAGCAGTGCTCCACGAGAGCACATGATACTGCTTTGGGTACTGCTGGTCTCCAGTTACCAAAAGGGATAAGTGCCTTTCAGGGTTCACGTGATGTGCCGCTGAATTCTGTGGGGGCTACGGAGTTTTAATTTATTTCCCTTCCTTGCTTCCCTTTTTGGGAATGTTAATTCTTTTTATGCATTGCAGGCTGTAAGTTAATTAATTTTATGGGAGTAAAAGACAACTATAGTGTATTCTGACTTACTACAGGAATGGAACAGCTTTGGAGTATGCTTTCTGGAGGAATCATTCTCAGAGGAGCCTATTTACAAGAGAATCTGAAAAACACGATGTCTGTATGGTTGAAGTGCTTTCTGATGGAGGTGGTAGGCTGTGGGAGTTTGAAAAATTTGGTTCCTTTTCTGGATCTGCTGAGTGCTAATGTACAACCAAGTAACATACTGCATTTGACAGGACAACCAAGGCATAGATATATTTCCATACTTGAGTTTATCAAACCTTAGCTTTGTAATTTATGTTCA